GAAGAAGATAAATCATTTTTGAACTGATTATAATATCAGATAAGAGGTTTTCCAGGAAGAGAGCTAACTCCAGAATGACACAACTATCTCATTTGTTTGTGGTGAAGGGTATGGTGTGAGTTGCCATTTTGAAGAAGTTATTTAAAAAGAAAACACTATATCATAGTCACTTGTAGGTCCCTATTTGTCTTAAACAATTTCACATGCATTGCGTATAGTGGATTTTCCTTTTTGCAGGGTGTGTGTCTCAAGTGAAGAGAGGTCAGGTCATAAGACTCAAATTTCAAAATATCTTCTTCACTGATCAAGAACTTTCTATTATAAGAAATCCAGTGTTGATTACAAGTTCCGCAATAAAAGACAAACTGAAATTCAATGCCCTTTCTTCATAGCAGGGTTAGAGAAACTAAAAGTGAGGAAATGGGTCTGTTGATTTAACTTTCTTAAGACTTAAAGATGATCTGCTCTTATTATTTTTACTGTGGTTAAAAGATTTTTTATTTCCCTCGAGCAGAATGTTCTGCTTGTTACCTGATAAAGGGTGCAGGCTCAAAGGCATAAGTTCCTGAGCAGTTGAAGAGCTGTGAATAGTGTTCCAAAAGTTAATCAAGCCTTCAGAATAAGCCTGTAATAAATGGAAGCTACAGAGCATAAGCCCTGATCAACAATGCCTTTGAAACTCACTGAACCTTTCTGCCTGCCTGCTTGCCATTCTCCATTCTATCTCTTCTTCCATGGCTTTCTCTCTTACTTTCCCCCATGTCTGTTATGCCACATGCTACCTACCTTTCTTCCTTTTTTCCCCTCCCTTCCTGTCCTGATCCCTAGATCTTTCCATCCTCACAGCCTGTTAAACAAGCACAAAACCAAACTATATGTTTTCAGACCTGTATGTACTTCACTAAGTTTTCTGTAGCCTATTTTAAGATAAAGGCCTCCTGGGCTAGCAAATACCTTGTCTCCTTTAGGAGACATCTAAACAGAGTTGGAGGTCATATGGAATCATAAAAGGGGCCCTGTCTGAGGCTTAGGACACCTCAGTTCCATAGCCCCCTCAATTGCTAATTGAAGTTTAATTTCCTTACCCATTAAGTGGTGGCATGTCCATGCCTAAAATTCTTTGATTTCCTATGACACTTGATTAATTTTTTCCTTTCACTGTGATTCTGCTTTTACGTCCCCATGCCCTCCAATCACCATCCTTACTTTAGACGGAAATAAACTTATCATGCTGCCTCACAGTCAATGAAACATTTTCCATGTCTAGTTTCTTGAGGAAGGTGGCTTTCATATTTCATTTCAAGAACCCTTTAATATTTATCATGGCTTGAAACAACTACCTTCAGAACATCATGAAAGTTTCATTTATTTTATTTAGTGTTTAGTTGATTTTCTATCCTTTAACTTTTCATTTTATGTTTTTTTCTGCCATATTAATTTTACTTCTAGCAATGAATCTGCCAGTTCCCTGTGGGTAAGGGTATTGCGTTTTACTACCCTAGAGTGTTCACAAAATTTGCGTTTTTAATTTCAGTAGTTAGAGTAGATATGACCTAACCTTTTCTCACATATAGTTTCATAAGTGAATTTATGTCTATCATAATGATTTTTTACCCCATAAAATTAATCATGTACTTCAATTCTGCATATAAGTATAATATAAAATGCAATAATTCAATGCTTA